AGAAGTACCTAAGATACAGACCTTCTTCCTCATCAAATTAGAAGTACCTAAGATACAGACCTTCTTCCTCATCAAATTTCAGTTCCCCTCTCACACAGGCTTTAAGAGGGTGAACTCATCTACTAAAGTCCGAGATGCGGACAAAGATTTTTGCACGAGGGTACTCATCACAGAAAGCACGCAGTGCAAGCCTTGCAAAAGGGAGATACTAACTGTTACAAATACGTCCATGTATATACGCAGCTCTTAAAATGACACTCTCAAAGCACGTTTAATGACCTGAGAAGGTGTAAATAATAAAATATAAATACTCTAGTGAAAACCACCTGGTATAAAAACCAATCCTGCAAGACTGTGATGCGTGAGAGCAGAATGAAGGGTGCCCTCGGGGCTGAGGACCAAAACCCGGGAGCACGGGAAAGGGACGGCTGCGTGTCCTTTCGGTGTCTTATCAGAGCACCGACAGGGAGCCCACCTCGGGTCCTCTGACCAGTTACAGCTGATGAGAGCCAGACTCTGCGAAGCTGTGTGCCAACCTGCAGAAAACTGATGACACAGAATGATCTATGCCACGTAGGGATGTAATTCATTTCTGTCTAATAGAAAGGACAACCCAGAGGATGTGATTCTGCTGCTCTGTAGGATACTGACCTGTTTTATAACTTCACCTTCATTTTTCACTGACTGAGCCTCAGTTCCTCGTATCCTCCTTTGACCAGCTTCATCATCATACTGGTTCTCTCACTATTGAGTTAATTAAGACTTGGCCTGTAATTACTATCTGTTGGCCTGAGAATTGTATTTCTAACATTTTGAAAATTACACACAACGGATGGAGACTGTCTCAGCCCCCATTTCTCTAATTTGGAGGTCAATGTAATAGGCACTTTAATCACAGGAACCTTCATTTGCAACGTGTCCTCTCACAGCATCCCACCAGGCCACACGTGAGCCTGGGGTGAATACACGTGCTTCCAACACAGCCTAAGAAAACAGGAGGCCATTAGGTCCGCTATTCACGCCCCTACGCAACACGGCACCGGGAAGCGATGTTCTGTCCCTGTGAGATAACGGCACTGGAAAGCAATGGAAATAATAAAATGTACCCTCAATAAATGTTCTTTGGTTTGACTAATTATCAGGCTGAATCTCATAAAACAAATTATGACTGAATCTGAATCCGTTCAAATAATCTTTCGAAAATTTTAGCCTAACAGTTTCTTAAGTATTACTCAGTTGTGAGTTGCCATCTAAAAGCCACAGGACTCAACACCAGCCCTGAGCACAACAAGCCAACAGCCATCTATGACGCTTACCTGTTCTTCCCCAGCAGGAGGACACGCAGGGACCTCAGAGTAGAAAGCCCACTAATTTCTTCAATCTGGTTATCGTATAAATCCAAGAATATTAGCCTCTGCAGATTAGAAATATTTTGGATCCGAGTTATAAAATTGTGTTGAAAGTTCAACAAGCGAAGGTGTTCCTCCCCGTCGATGACAGGACATACAGTCAGCTTTTGCCTAGAAAACATTTAAGAAGTTAGTAAGATTCTTACCTGGCAGCCGGCCTCCTCTTACAAATCTTAACAGTAGTATCTTCGTGCCCCCCTGCTGTGAGCAGACAACGATGAACCGAACCATGTCTTGCCTCCATGAACTAAACACCCTAGATCTAACTGTGAATCACTCAGATAAAAGCCAACAAACTTTGGCAAGAGTAAGTATTAAAATTAAGTCTAAGCTCTCCCTGTATTTTTAAACAAATCTCCAATATTAATTATTTCACATAAAATTAACTTAACATCAGAAAACACTCAATGTAATTGCCTTCTGAGACAGAGGGTGAGATGATTCGAAGAACCATATAACATCAGCAGAGAAATGTCTTTGCCATCAGTCCACTGATACAAAGGCTGCTCAGGCAACTCAGCCATCAGGAAAAACAACACATAGAAGGATCTCTCACAGGATCACAGACTCTTAAGCCAGACACTGTCTTAGGAAGGGCCTGAAGTTCAGCCATCCACAGCTCACTCTGATGGAGACAGTTTCATCCTGAGACTCATTACTCGTAAGGCGGTCCTAACCGAACATTTCCTCAGAAGCTCAGATGTTAAGTATATGTTTACATGTTCAGCACTAACTTTGACTTTGCAGAGTATTTAGAATGCTACAGGGTATGATGCCAACTGAGTAATGTTTGCCTTTAGGTGTATTTAGAACAGTAAGCCTCATTATGCAAGAGGTAGAATGTGTTACACGTGCAATGAATGTGTGCAGGGCTCTTGGAGAATTCTACTGATGCAACACAATGGCCAGAGAGCAGGGGTTCTCCTCGGAGATTTTCAACAGTCTTCAAGGAAAATGTGGCTCTAAGAATCAGAGTGAACAACTCTCACAGGTAGGTTTACTAGAAATACTTCCTTTCAGTAAAAATCAAGTTAATATACCCTTTAAAGGAAATAAATCAGAGTGCTGTAAGCATAAGCAACACTGCAGAAGTTATCAGAATTCTCCTCATAAAAAGAAGAAAGATGATTAGCACAAGGAAATAACTGAGTGTTAATGTTGCTTAAAAATACAGACTCTGAAGAAATTGGTTTAAAATAGAAATGAAAATATTAGGTAATTTCTTTTAGTATTTAGAGTTCATTTTTTGTGTTCAAATATATATTTGGTACTTCTGTCTTACAAATCATAAATTAATAAACTATAAGTATTTTTGTAAAGTGTATACCTTTCTGCGTCAGCTTAGCAAAAAGTTGATACTGTCTCATTTTCCCTGCTTCAGTCTTGCTCTGTTTCTCACAGTTATACTGACTGATACCCCAGCTTCTAGTTCACCCAATTCTTGAGTCAGTCATCACTGAGCTAGAAAGATGAATAACCTCTGATCCTCCACGTACACAAGCTCCTGAGGCCGGAAATTAAGTCACGTTCTCAGATTCCAAATCGAGTGACCAAGTCCCACCTCCAAGGCTCACTTATGTACCTCTTAGCCCTGTAAGTCCCTGTCATCCAGGAAAGCAGCAAACCCAGCGCTCTCCAGGGGAGTCTGTCGCCCTACAAGATCCCTGAGTCGCCACACCTCTGCCCCGTTACTGAGGTGTCTGCCGGACAGTGCTGTTGGCCTGTTTCCGACTCTAGGCCCACCCTAACTCCCAGAACAGCCAGAGCTTAGCTCTTCCCAGCATTTCTCCTCAGGGCTGGTTCTATGCTTGACCCTTCAGCCTCCTGGCTAAGAAGCTGCTCGGCACGGCAGACCTGCCCTTGGAAATCACGGCCGTGACCCACTGGCTCTCAGCAAACGATCCCCAAGTCCTTGCTGCTGGCCCAGCTTCCCTGACTGCGCATCCGGGTACAGATCAAATGCTACCTAAGCTTCTGACATTTCTGTGATCCTGCCAGTGCACAATCCGCCTGCAAAGCTGAGCCAGATCCCTGAGCCCTGGCTTTCCTTGGTAAGCAAGTCTCCGCCGGATCAAAGTTTGCTTCTTCACCCCGAGGCCCAAGGACCATCTTCACAACTGCCTGACGCACCAAGCAACAACACAAGAGCCTGAGTTGTTATGTGACGGCTCCCGTTAGCATCAGAAGCATTGAACTGAGGGGCTCAGGTACTCTTGGCTGGACTTTTAAAGACTGAGATAAAAATGACCACAAAATCCCTCAAAACATTAAAATGATGTTACGAAAGCTGTATTAGACAGCATTAGAATCTCAAAAACCAACAACACTGCAAAGATGGCACAACAGTTACTGCCCTCGGGGGTTACCGTGCCCTCCAGACAGCAGGCCACGCCCCCGCAGAGCCCCTCCCTCCTGCAGACACACACGGTCCCCGGTCCCCGAGAGCTGCATCAGGTGCGCTGCTGGGAAGCCCGCTTAACCACCTGCTGTTAGGGACGTCTCCGAGCGACAGGGCACAGGACAAACAGCTTCCGCGCTGGCCACGGGGCCACGGCCCAAGCCTCCCCGCCACTCCGGCGCGGGGTCTTTTCCAGACCTAGGAGGGGAGCAGGCGCTCTATGTGCTGACCCATTCTACAGTGTTCCAGGTTATTCTGTCCCAGGCTCTGTTTTGGCTGCTGGGGACACAGAACTGAACAGAACTCTTGGTTCTGTGGGGCTTATGTTCCAGTATGAGGAGACAAACCACAAACCTGATAAGTGAAATATGTCATATGTTAGAGGGCGGTAAATGCTAAGAAGAAAAAGAAAGCAGAGAAGGGGGCTGGGGACTGTCAGGGTTGGAGGAGTTACAGCTTTGGGGAGGGTGGCCAGGGAAGGCTACCCCTGAGGTGATGACATGTGAGTAAAGACCTGAAGGAGGCAAGAGAGTGAGGCTACATGTAGGTGAAGGAACAGCATTCCAGGCAGAGGGAACAGCAAATGCAGAAGTCCTACGGTCTAAGCATGCTTGGTGTTTTCCAGGAGCCACAGGGAGGTAGGTACAGCCGTAGCAGGTGAGTGAAGGAGAGGTCAGGAGGCAGTGAGGCCAACAAGCTAACCGGGAACTCAAGTGGATGGGACCCACAAGCCCGTGTGAAGGCCATAATTTGAAGTCGTTTTCTAAATCCATTTTTATCAATGTTGTATTTTAGAACCGCTATAGTGCTCTTTCAGAGCATACTCAAGCTCTCTTACATTATTACATAGATACAAAATGTCTCCACATGACCGAGAGAGGGTAAATTTGAAAACTGGTAACAGTGATTAAACCTAGGAAGGAGAACGGACAGCTGGAAAACAAGACGAGGGGGAGATTTGTGTAGCTTTCAGGTCCTGTACCATGTCTGTACATTATCTAGTCAGCAAATACAGTCAGTTGTCCTCACCTTTCTAGGGTCAACCTGTCTGAATACAGAATTTTCTCCTCAGAAGAACGCTGGAGAATGGGGAAGGATGGCATTGATGAGCTCACCAAGTTAATATGATCACCTGTTGGAAATGATAACACAAATTATTTGATTAAGAAAGACCTTTAAAATCTTGAAACTACAGTCACCTTATATTTGGAGAACCCTGGCAGCTACTAATATCCTTTCTAGAAAATACAGCTTCCATAGCTCTCCATATTTTAAATGTTACTAAACTTGAGCTTGTTTCTTTCCTCCTCAAACCAAAACTGTGTGCCCTGTGGATACCACATAATTTCCCCTTGCCTCACAGACGGGCTGAAAGCGCAGAACGACTGCAGTGCTATCTTTAGCCCTTTACAACGCTCCTAACGCTAAACTTTAGCTCTCTCGTGGTCGAGATGATTGTCCCTCATTACCAGATACATTGGGGCCAGCACTATGACAGCCCTGCCGGATTCTGGACTTTGAAGGTGTCTGAATGGAAGAATCTCCAAATGCTGGTAAGGAGCTCGTGGTAGTTTTCATTTCCAGCCCACACGGTTCTGTCCCGTTTGTTGTGGACGAGACGCAGGATGATTTATTACGAGGTGAAGGGCTTATTACTCTTCCATCTCCTTCAAAATATCAAAAAATGTATCACAAAGCTACACAATACACGGTGTTGCTACAGGAAATACAGCGACAGTAGTTTGGGACAGCAAATGTAAGCCTAGCACCATCCCTTCTTTTCATATGTTCAGCTGCTACTAGTAGAGGACATCTGCAGAGATCAAAGTGGATGGCGCTTAACCTTACACACTTGCAGTCAGAGTCCACGAGGTATGTGACACCTCTATGAGGTTTACAGGATGTTGGTTAGATACGGTCCCTGCCATTAAGTAGCTTTCAATCTAGTGGGCAACACAAATGAAATTAATAATCTGTATAGAGCAACATGTACAAAATGCAGAATTAAAACTAAGAGCTACTTGTATATTCACACATAAATCTGTCTGGTTATTTTTCACTTAAAGAAGACGGTTACAAATGGGTTTGAGGGGAGGTGGATATTAAGATACATCTAAAGACCTTGAATAACGCAGAATGGTTAATAAGACATGCTGGGAAGTTCCGGAGATGAAGTAAGACTTGAGCAATGGGTCAAAGCTGCCAGTTTGAACACCAGAGGAAACAGACTCTATTTTCTTCTACAAAGAGAAACTTCCCTGAAAGCAGTAACTGATGTTGAGCAGTGACGAACAGTAGCACAGAACGTAAGGTACCACGGAATTCTGCCGCTTAAACTGACCAATAAGGCAAAAAGATGAACCCGAACCTAGGAAGTTAACATACTCTCTGGGAGGCCATCTGAAAGTCAAGTTCCATACATGTCACATTGAAGAGCTGTAAAGCCATGGCACCTGCTAGCTTCTCCAGGGGTGCAAAATACAATCCAAAGTATCACACATCTAGGTTCTTGCACAACATAGTCAATGCTCACAACCTAGTTTTACAAAAATCATGAAATATCACGATACCAATAATGATGTTCCATGTACAAGCATGCAGGATGTGACATCGTGTTCATAAATGAACTGATCTTGTGACATGACCGGTTGCTGCTGGCAAGACACCCAAGCAACCATGATTCTGTAGGCTGATTTAGAAATCAAAAACTAGATGGTTAAGACACAAAAACTAGTGTAAGGAGTCACTGATTAAGGATTAACTAGTCAGCTAAAGATGATAAAGGAAAAACTCCCAAACTGTATAGATTTCTCTTGTTAGCATCAGAGCTGGCTTTTAAAATTATTCGTTAGAGCTTCCTAAACTGAGGCTTTCTGCAGTTTAGGCAGCAGATTTAAGCTTCATAAGACTTGGGATGTAGGGGCAATAATCAAGAGTAAATTTCACTTACACTCAGTGAATAAAGGAATTTCATCCTCACACTTTTGAACTCTGATTATACACTGAAGTCATAATCACCATTCTTACGATGAGCTTACTGTCATGCTCAATAAGGCACACATCTTACTATAACTAGCAGGAGATGAGAATGATTAGATATAAAGGCCTTAAAATGCACAAACAAGGTCCTATAAATGGCTGGGCAGCAGAGTGATCTGCAGCTGAAACATCCGTATGTTTCTGTAGATATATAAACACCCACGCAGATACACGTATTTTCACCCCACACACAAACTGCACCGCTATGTGGCAAAGTTTTAACTGAAAATGCCCTGTGATTGTCGACTTCCTGTGTCACTGTTTAATTTACCAGCTATGTAGCCCTTGTCTTCCCAGTTAGATTCAAAAGCTCCTTGAGAAATGGAGCTCCTCCTACATTAGAACCTAAATTCAGTAGACAATCAGGAAATTAACTGATTTTCCAACTTATTAACAGTTAATCAGAAATCTATTTTGTACATATTATTTCTGCCAAAAACAGAAGAAAGTGAGAAATTCTTGCATTTTAGTATAAAAATGCTAGAGTTAATTCTTTCATAATTAGGATCTCAAAGTGTTTGGAGGCAGAATACAACGGTCTGTGTTTGGTAAGAATCTTCACTGCACTGAACCCTATGTACATGGATGGATGGATGGATGGATGAATGGGTGAGTAGATGGGTGGAAAGATGGGTGAACAGATGGGCAGGGGGATGGACAGGTGGGTGACTGGCTGGCTGGCTGATAGAGAACGTGGTCATATATATGTTCACTCAGCCTTACCTTTTTAGGGATTGTTTTGGTAAACAAAATCCTGATTCTGGGTTTACCAACATTTACCATGATCTTAAGAGTCAAGCATTGCCTCTTCCCCTCCATACACATATTTTTGAATTCTTAATTAAGAGATTTAATCAGTTAAGGTCTGGTTAACTAAAATTTTACTATATAGGAATCCCTGGCTCTTACAAAATCTCAGAGATACAGGGGCTCACTTTTAACATGAATCTTAAAAACCTAAAAGAAACCACATGCCAAGTTTCACACTAAGCAGCCTAACCATAAAACACAGTTTCTTTACTTTGGACTGAGAGCGCCACTGGCTGTTTGATGGTGACAGGCTATTTTATATGCTCAATTAATTCTGAAAAATAGAAAAACATGAGAAATGAGGTGAAATTAGCTACAGTAATTGGGGATCAGGACGCAGTTTATTAGATGGAGGTTCCCAGCTTCTCCTGATAAAGTGCTGCTTATTGTTTTTCCAAAGTTTTATGCCTTTGGAGGAAGAACAGTGAGGGCAAAAGTCAAAGCCAGCTACACACTGTGTGGCCCTCACTGCCGGAAACTGCCTGGAACTGTGGAGGAGACGCAAGGGAACCAGGGACAAGTGTCAGAGAATGATTTTGAACACTCTTTTAATGAAAAAAAAAAATAGGCTTACTGTTCCCTAAATAATTAATTCGTAGTTTACGGGTTGTTATTTATGTACAAGACTTAAGGTTCACAAAACTCAGTGCCTCCATACTGTTTCCTCATTAGCAAGTATCTAGTAATACTTTACCACTTAAATAAATTTACCTAGCTAGACATCCACAAATCTAAGAACTTCCTCCTCGAACTCAAGAATACCTTGGGAAAAGTATTTACATTTGACTCAAGATTTTGAAAACCAATTTAAGGTTTATTATCAAAAGTGTGAAGGACATTCACAATGCAAACATAAAATATCCTACATGAGAATTTTCAGGTTCACATCTATAACTCGGTGCCTAACACAGTGTCTGGAACACAGTACACCATCAACAGAACCAAAGAAGGCAAGACCAATGTGTCTGCACCGTGGACAGGAAATAGGCCGATGTCATGCCCAGCAACTAACCAAGACCAGAGTGTAGGGTACAGGAAAGAGAGGTCATGTCAGATTAGATGGGCCCAAGAGGAAAGTCCAGAAGTAACAAAACAAAAGAAAACAAGTACAATATTCAAAACTGTATCCAAGGTGAAGAATCTGGAGAGGCCGGTACTGACCGGCCCTCTCACACAGGCTCCTGGGAGATGGGGACAGTGCTGTATGGGAGGGTCCTGCAGTGCTCGACACTGGCACGTTACAGACAGCTGAGGCTTGTCAGCAACCAAGTAATAACTCTAATGCGCTAAAGACAACTCCCCCTTGAATTAAAAAATACATGTCAAAAATATAACCAGATTAGATGAGGCTGTTTGTCAAAGGGTGGTCCACAAACCACGTCCATCAGAATCACCTGAGACACCGAAAGGCACATTTCCAAATCGCACCCCAGACCTACAAGGCCAGAATGGGGAAGAGGACAAAGGAAGGAAGCACGAGGAATCTGCATTTCTACTGAGATCTCAGGAGATGCACAGAAGTTTAAGGCCTCTGCTATAAAGTATCCATAACTAGACGCACTAGGAAGGGAAAGAGCCTGCTTCTTTTCTACTCCTGACTTTCCATGCTTTCCACTGTTTCCTTATTTCCTAAAGATCTGTGTTCCTATGCGCATTCTCTTACCAATCAGCCATTTTTCCTAGTTCTAAGACATTATTTAGAAGATTCCTTCCCATTCGCCTGTGCACAGCCCACCCCAAACTAAAATACAACAGCTTTTCCTATACTAGAATTAACCTACTATGTTGTATATATAAAATCAACTCTCATTTAAACAAATGCCCAACCAATTTGGTAACCAATGAATGACACCCTTTTTAATTCAAGTCTATTTGGATCTAGAAATTCAACATTACTAAACAATATTACTTAGAGAAGAGAAAGCAAATCTGATCTCTATTCTCTGAAAATACCTTGCCTACTTGAGTAGTTTCTTTCAAGGTCATGTTGTAAGAGTCGACCAGGGAATGATGGTGTTTCTTTACTTAGCTTGAATTCAACCTAAAAAAAATTATTTAAGAAAAAAAATTTGGAGAAGATTTAACAATAAATAGTGAATGTAACTATAAAATGACATACAATAATTGATATATAACATAGATGAACCTCGAAAACATTGTGCTAAGTGAAAAAAGCCAGACACAAGATGTCACATATTGTATGATTCCATTTATGAAATACTGAGGACAGGAAAATCTACAGAGACAGAGGGCAGATTTGTGGCTTCCAGGAGGGTGGGGAAGACGGAACGAGGAGCTACTGCTTAATGGGTACTGGGACTCCCTTCCGGGTGATGTAAAGTTCTGGAACTAGACAGTAGTAATGGTTACACAACGTTGTGAATGAACGTATTTAATACCACTGATCTGTACAATTTAAAATGATTAAAATGATAAATTTTATGTTATGTGTATTTACTTACACACACACACACACAAATCAGAGTGAAATTCATGAGGTCAGATGAAACCATGCTCCAGTCTGAGGCATTTCCAATTCCTCTATACCCTCAGCACAATTCAATGATTTAAAACAGTCATTTTTTCAAAAGCTAAAGCAAAAAAATACATTAGAAACTAAATTCTGTTGAAAAAAATCACAATGCTTTTATCACTAGAATTTCTTTAAGAGTCCAGTTATAACATAATAAAATTGTATTCAAACCTTCGATTTAAACCTTCGAAGATGGGCTTTTCTCTAAATTTATTTTAAATTATTTGATAGGAGGACTGAGAAAACAAAACCAACGACCTCTTATGATCAGCTACAAAAAAACCCCACAAAACCTAAACACGTATCTTAAAACAATTTTGATGCTTCTGATTCACCCATACTGTAAAAATTATAATAGCATTTGTATTATATCCTTATGAATTATATGAACTAAAGGTAAATTCTCAGGATGTATGTCCCCATATGAGGAAACGAATGGTTTGGGAAGAATGTGGACAAGGCACACAGTTCCTAGAAGCACATAATGTATAAGAGTAGAACAGGATTTGTCCAGTGAAATCAATCAGCAAAGCTTTGGAGGGACTCCATTATGTCCAATTATAGTAAAGAATATTTTCAATTAATCTAGCTAACTACTATGTATTCAAAATGATCAAATGGTCCATTTCCCAAGTGTTTTTTCAGATACAGAATCAACCACTCCCTCCATGACTAATGGTGTCCTTCCATCCATCCTGTGGCGCTCCTCTTTATCCTCCTCCTGTGGTTATCTGTAGACTAACCTTCACTTTAAGAGTTTCTCCAGTGCCACCTATTTAACAACTTTTTAGGAAATACCTGAATTGTGCTGGTCGGAGGTTCCCACTTGATCAAAGAAGGAAAAATCGTGTTGTGTCTTGAGACACAGTCGTGTGGGAAGTAGGTGAGTATATCTGAGTGTGGAGGTGAGACAGGGAGGGAAAGAAAAACATGTGTCTCAAAAATCAAATCAAAAGCCAAAAATTAGGGAAATGCCAAGGATAATATGAGCAAATTGGGAAAAAGAATCTCATGTTCATAACTTAACTTCTAAATGGCAGTAAGTCTAATGTATTTCCACAGCTAATCAATTTTTTCTGGAATGTTACATGTGTGCCCCCAAATTATCACATTTTATCTATTATAAGAGTCCATCAGTAGTAAGACATGCCATCATTTTATCCATTACTAGGAAAAAAAAGCTTTCCCAATTAAACTATGATGTGCCATAAATTTTAAGAAGGACCCTGATTTAAGAAACGTTTAAATGTAAAAAACAAACAAAAGTTACCTCTCATAATTAATAAGATTCAGTTTTCAAAAGAGGTTTTTTTTGGTTTTGTTTTGATTTTTTAAACTGATATAGAGTTGATTTACAATATTATGTTAGTTTCAGGTGTACAACATTGCGATTCAGTATTTTTACAGATTATACTCCATTAAATGCTATTATAAGGTAATGGTTGTAATTTCCTGAGCTTATACAATACATCCTTCTCGGCTACCTGTTTTATACATACTAGTTTGTACCTCTTAATTTTACACCCCTCACTGGCCCCTTCCCCTGCCCTCTCTTATTTGGTGACGAGTAGTTGCCTTTATGTAGGCAGACAATAAAAAATTAGCTTTAGACTGGAGACGAAAGTAAATATACTTAAAACTTTCAGTATAGGCTCTACCCTTTAAATCATGCTATTTGTGCAGAATATAAAACAATTTATCTTCAATTTAAATACAAATCTGCTTAAATCTTACTTTGTTTTTTTCAGGAAGCGATGATGTTTGAATAACCAGATGAAGCCCACAGTTCACCTACAATGTAAAAATTAAACCATAAAATATGCTCTTAACTTACACACACACACTCTCACGCTCTCCTCAAAATAGTACAGAAAAGGATACAACCAAAAAATTACAAAAAAACAGAACGCTCATTTTTTGGTAAATGATCATGCTCTGGGGATTTGCTTTAAACAATAAAATCACAAATATGAATTAAAAGGTGTCACTGTGATTTATTTTCCAAAATGTCTGCAGCGATTTAACCCTCAGCTTAGCACTTCAGGCTTCTGACAACTGCCATTTCAGTTCTGAGTAAACATGTCAGTGAGACAGGTGAAAGAGATTGGGGTGTCTGTTAATAATAAATTATTTTCTTAATTTAAAAAAAAAAGAGGAATTGGCTGATGAAAAGAATTTAAATGAACCTCAGCCGTTCACAGCAGAGCAGCTCCACCTTCTGGGAAGCCCGGACGCTGACCGAGGCTCCGAAGACCCGGCACACGCGCCAGGACCCTCCAAGTGCCCGGTCCAGCCCCCGCCTCCAGCCTCGGGCAGACAATAGCCGCGGAGCCCGGCGCCCCGGGCCCGGGAACACGGCCCATCACCTGGGGCGAGGCCGCCGGCGGAACGGACGCCGGCCAGGGGAGGAGGGGGAAGCAGGGGACCCAACCTACGTTGCTCGCAGCCCGACCAGAAACGGAGCGGTATTTCCCGGGAATCATGGCAGGAGACCGTCCGAGAAGCCCGGCTGCATCTGCCTCAGAAGCGCCGCTCCCGCGGAGGCTCAGAGACCGAACGGGGTCGTCTCCCGAGCAACCGCTCGGGGTTACCATGGAAACGACCACTTCCGGCTCGGTCCTCCGCGGAGTCGCCGGCCGGCCGGCGCGCCCGTTAGAGCCTCGGCTGTGCCTGGAGGGCCGGTACGTCAGCGCCTCC